CACCCCTGTCGTTGCTCGGTGCCTGGCCAACCAGACAAGAAAGCACGGCAGCCCGAAACAAGAAACAACAACAAACAGAAGACACGGCAATACGAAACGGAATCAAACCGAAAATGTCGCGAACGAGAAATTCCCCCCCTTCCTCCAAAGAAGACCCCAAAACGGGGGGGGCGGTGGGGAGGATAAGTCGATATCGAATACCAAAAAAACGCGTCTTTACAGCATCTCACACCCTGGGGCTCGCATTGCCAGAGCGATCTGGGTCCCCAGGTGCGTGTGTGCGCGAGTGTGTGGAGAAAGCGGCCGATAACCTTCTGCCTCTGGGCAGTGGGCAAGATTCCTCTGTCAAAGGTGAGCCAAGACGGCAGTGGGAAGCACGAGAGAGGGCAGGAGAGATGGGTACCCATCGGTGGGGAGAAGTGTGTAGAAACATGACGTAGGAAGGCGTTGAGAGTAGATAGAGTTTCCGCTCGCCCCCTAAAGATCAAGAGAATGGGCAGACCATTCGATAATTGAAACAAGAGGGCGCCCAAAGCAGATTGGAATCGGGGACTCCAGAAACACATGCTTCCAAAGGCCGACGGGTACGCAGCCACACCACGGGGGGGGGCGTGCGGCCTGCGTCAGCAGGTCCAGCTTGCCCTGGTAGTCGCCGATCAGCGTCTCGACGCGGCCAGCCCAGGACTCTTTGAGGTTGCGCACTGCCCGCGGCTCCCCGCCCGGCTCTGCGAGGCGGGGATTTATCCATTTCCACCGCCTGGGAACCGACGTCCTGGTGCCCCAGCGGGCGGTGGATCGGAGGTTGAGGGGTGAGTCCGACGTGAAACGGAGACCCCCCCCTACCGGGAAGTCGATTTCGGTTTCGGGTTAGTGTCGTGCGTGCCGTGCGTGCGTGCGGGCGAGGCCAAGCTGCTCGGGCGGGCGAGAGGAAATCCTCCTGTGGCTGGGCCGCGGCCGGACCCGCTGGTGTCCCGTGGTGTCCCGTGGTGTCCCGTGGTGTCCCGTGGTGTCCCGTGGTGCCCCGTTGAGTGAGATCGATCGTGAGATCGACAGGTGTCCCGTGGTGTCCCGTGGTGTCCCGCTGAGAGAGATCGATAACTTAGTGAGATCGATAGTGAGACCGATGTGATGCCCCGAGGTGTCCCGTGGTGTCCCGTGTCCCGCTGAGTGAGATCGATAGTGAGATCGATGTGGTGCCCAGTGGTGTCCTATGGTGTCCCGCTGAGTGAGATCGATAGTGAGATCGATAGTGAGACCGATAGTGAGATCGAGAGGTGTCCCGCGGTGTCCCGTGGTGTCCCGTGGTGGCCCGTGGTGGCCCGTGGTGTCCCGTTGAGTGAGATCGATAGTGAGATCGACAAGTGTCCCGTGGTGTCCCGTGGTGTCCCGTGGTGGCCCGTGGTGTCCCGTTGAGTGAGATCGATAGTGAGATCGATTGAGTCAGATGTTGGTTCCCCCCCTTTCCCCCCTTCACAGCCTCCTCATCACCCGAAAGGTGGTCGTATGGGTATGGATATATCTCGGCCCCCGCGGGGCCCGAACGTGTCCATATCCACCGCCTGCCGAGGCACCGAAAACGGACCCTCCAGGCGGTGGTCGTGTATGAGCTCCCGCCTCGGAGGCCCTGCCGCTCTGGACCGGGAGGCGCGCGCCCGCTCGGCTGGCGCAGGCGCACCCGGTCGGCAACAGAGCGCATCGCCCACGACTGGCACCGACATCGGGCCGCCGCGCCCGGCTGCGGCCCGCCCCGGCCGACGCCGGCGCCGCCTGGCCGAAGCGAACCGGACCCGGTCGGCCCGGCATCGCGGGCCCGGCCAGCGGAGCGGATCGCCTCGCGTCGGATCGCAGGCGGCCCTCTGGCTGGCGGCGAGCTGGGGTGCAAGGGAGAGGGGAGCAGCCCTTGCCAGATCGGCGACGAGGTCGAGACAGGCGCACTGCCCCTGGACAGGCCCCTCTTGGGCCCAGGATGTGCAGGTACGTAATATGCCCCCCTGCCCGAGCCAAAGAGGGAAATGCACCGATCCTGCACGTGGGTCCACGGTGGGGCTGGCGGGGGTCGGCGTGGATGTGTACAGATCTCGCCGCCAGGTCGGAAAGGCGGGGGGGCTCTTGGGGAAGACCGGCTCCTATGAAGACCACTTCCCCTGCAGCTTCTGAACACGAGGCGCAAGCGACACTTTTGAAGGCTGTCCCCTCTGGAGCGCGCCCCCCTCCTCAGACGTCCCCCGGAGGCCAGAAACGGCAAAAAACGCCTTCGTCCCGACTTCTGTCCAAGAAGTTAGGCGGCGATCCAACACCGAGCAAACGTGCAAAAAGAGGCGACAACTGATGGAACTCTCATTTGTGCACGAGCCCCAGGCCAGGTGCCACGCAGAAATGGGTGACACTTTGCGCCGGCTGGGGCAGGAGGAGGAGGTGGAGGAGGAGGAGGAACGGGAGGAGGCAGAGGAGTAAGAGAAGCAGTAACTCTTATGCTGGGGAGCAGGAAGAGGAGGAGGAG